TTATGTAAACATTTAAGTACTGCCTGTTGCTTTCCACCTGTACATCTCAGAGTACTTCACTTAAGTGAAGATGTCAGCATGCATTTCTGCAAAAGGAGAAACTGACCCCCGCCCCCAGCCCAGTCTCAACCCCAGAAATTACCAAAGCTACTCAGCAGTAGAACTGGGAACAGACCCCAGGAATCAGCATACTAAAATCTGAGTCTCCTGTTATAGCTGCTAATCAAAGCCACAGGTCACATACAGCCTAAGGGCTGGATCCAACCTGTGGAGCCCCATATGCTGGCCCCCAGTGCTGTCCCATCAACCCACATGCTGTACCCACTGCTCCCCACATACAATGCCTGGGACAGGCCATCCACAGCACTCCTGGCATCAGATCCCAGATTATGCTGCCCACTGGCATTCTGAACAGGTGCTGTGCGGACTGGATCAGGCGTCAGGACCAGGGAGGCATCCGTGGGCTTGAATCAGCCCATGGGCAGGCCCCACACCACTTATGCAGACTGCAGGGCCAGGTAAGTTTGACACTCCTATTGGAGGTCAGATTTTGCTTTTGAATCCATAGCTAATACGTTAGTTTATTCACCTAACAGAGACCAAATCCTTAACATCACCAAGTTTTTTTTTTTAAACTTAGAAAAAGAAAAAAGCAGCATCATGCACACTAGTTGAAGAAGTATCAGCTGCTACTCTTTCTTCACCATGAGACAACTGGTTACTTTGCTGTGTCACCAACTGACATTTACTTAACAGGACAGTACAGGTTTCCCTCACTTTACACGGGTTCTGTATATGCATATTCGCCCTTATGCAATGACCCTTTATATACCAAAAACTGGTTATATGCAAGGTAAATTCACTGTTATGCGACCGGTGTGGTGGAAGCCTACAGTCAGCTGCTTTGTACAGTGCATTGGATAAGTGACGTGCACCAAATATAGTCTCCTCTCTCATTGCCTGCGACATCTCTAGTTGCCATCCCCCATTATGATAGTGTCCTGTGCTTGTGTGTACTGTTTGCTGTTGGTGAATACCAAAATTGGCTTGTAAAAGTGGTAAAAATAGGTCTGGGGGTCAGTACAGTTGAGGTCTTGGAATGTCTCCCTATTTGTTACAGTGTAAAGTGGGTTCCCTTTATGCAAATTCGAGTTATGCACCATTTGCCAGGAATGCATGTATAGCATAAAGCGAGGGAAACCTGTATGCAATTCGTCACCAATTGTGGGGGCACTGCCAGTCTCACATGACAGACGTTATCAGTTTAAAACTGGATCACTGATGGAGTAACTGTCAGGTGACCCAGCCCAAAATCCATCAGAAGATTTCTCTTAGAATTTTTTTATGCTAGGTTGTCTCATAAAAACCCCTTGTTGCAAATACCTTAATATTTCTCCCATTAATAGTTTTAACTGATATAAAAAGCAGTCCAGTTACACAGACAAAAAGCTATCAAAACCCCTGGAGTTGCACCTAATTTATAATATTCTTGTCTAACTTTAGGAAGCACAAGGTTTTCAGACAGCAGTGCGATTTTTTTATGCAGCAGCATCCTTTTAAGCCTCTTCTATCTTTTTAGGCCATGAAAGCTGAGCGTTTTGAAAAGCAGCATTTCTAGCCAAAGTTTTCCTGCCAGCAACAGCTATTCTAAGGTTGAGCCTTATACTTTCAGGAAGCGGAGATAGGTTACAGATTAAACCAAACCCTCCATCCACCAGGAGCTACATGCTTGGGCGAGAATAGAGGGAAAAGGTAAGTTCTTAAGTAACACTGGCAAACTGCCATTCTGCCCTGCTACACCCCGATTGTCCTCCCAGCTTCCGCTGAAGTCTTCCAAGCAACTCTTCTAGGGACACATCTCCCCCATTCCCACACCTCCAACACAGCTAGCCCCAGCCACCTTTCTGCATACTGGTCATTGCTGAGTCAGCAGCAGGACACAACTATCCCCTTGTATGTGGTTTACCAGTGAAAACAGGCCCACTCTGACCTTTGCAGCCCTGACCTCCTGAGTCCCTAATGTGCAATCCTGTGTGCAGTAAGAGTCAACAACTGTCTCTGCAATGAACCCATTCTCCAGTAGGTGTGTAGGTAATGAATGCCCAAAGGCCACACTGACCATCACACATAAATCCCCACAAATCCCTTTCAAACACCCTCTTAATGTCCCCATGTAAAACCCTGGAAGTTTTATTTTTGTGTTTTTTAACCATTAGCAATCCTTGCCCAAAGTGCTGCAGCACCGTGGGGTGCCTCCTGCTTCTTTTAAGGGTCCTGTGTAGTGTCAACACCAGGGATTTCATCCTGTAGTGCCAGAGCTGCCCAGATGTGGCTTTGTGGAGCCCTTCACCACAGATCCACAGCTCAATTATTTATCTGTAGTATGACAAGAAGGGTGGTGGAAGGGGGTAAAGCAGGGTAGAGGTGGGGGCTGGGGACACTAAGAGCCAGCTTAGCCAAAGATGGAAAACCACAGGTCTGGAGAGACATCTGGACCCCCACATCACATTCAGAGGTCATCTATAGCAGTGGTTTTGAACATTTTTTTGTACCAGGACCCATTTGTAGCCATCAATGGCGAGTCCTGTACCACCACCCCCAGGCCTCAGCCCCTCAGCATGCGAAGCTCTGCCAGCCCACAAAATAAAAGCTGTGGTTTCTGGCTTCTTTTTCCTTTAAAGGAGAATCCATGTCTAGAGTTAGTCCGCAACCCTTCCATGTGTTCTTGCGACCCACTTTTGGGTCACGACCCACAGGTTGAGAAACACTGGACCAGTGCAGCCCCCTACCTGAGGCTGGATCACCCCTGCCCCAACCACCCCGCACAACCCATCATCCAGATTGGACCCAAGAGAGCCGCGCAGCCCAGAGCCCTCACCCGACCCTGCTGCCGCAGTGTCCCAGTCTGGGGGCTCGGGCCCGCCACCCCAAGCGCTAACTCTGCGGGCCGCCCCGTTCGCGATCCCAAGGGCGGGACTGAGTGACCTCTGCAGGTCCCCCCCGCCCCACGCGAGGCGGGCCGGGGCGGCCGGGCCGAGCTACCTGGGTCTCGCTGAGGTTCTTGTCCGGGCCCAGCAGGTAGCGCGTGAGGAAGGGCTCGGAGGGCCGCAGGTTGGAGAAGAAGCCGTAGAGGCAGAGAAGCGCCGTGGGCAGCGCCCAGCAGCAGCCCCGAACCAGGCCGCGCCGCCCACGCGCTGCCTCCAT